GACATCTTCCTGTTTGTCAAAAGTCAATTAGTTCAACAAGTAAATGGCGCTGAGACTTGCCGTGCGGGATGGAGCCTCCCAGATGTTGAAAGAGGAAAAATGACAGCTGATTTACACGCAGAGGACGTGTTCCACACATGGCGATGGGGAAAATTCGATATAACCCGTCTGGACAATCAAACAGACTTCTTGTTTACACGTCTGTAGGAGACGGTGGCATTTCCACAGCTCACATCAGCACAGATCAGGTTGTGCTGGAGTCTCCTTGTTCAACAACCAGATTCCGCTAAAGGGAACCTGTCATAACGGAAAAATGGCAGCTGCCATTGGCAAATTAAAGGAAGCCTGTACTGAGAACATATGCAGGCTGCCTGTAATGAACTCTTTATAGAAATGCTTGTTGACTGGCTCTTATACTGACCTTAAGGTGTCAGTACTGTCTGAATCACTGAAAGTATGAAGATCATCAATTCTGATTCTCCTCTGACTTCACTGTTTGCATGCGTGTTCCAGGTTACAGAATTTATTTAGGTGGGGAATAGGTAGGAACGGGGTACACAATGGTTGTCCCTGTATTTATATTAGTATAGCCCATGTACAACACCCAGCTACTGGGAAGGTTAGTGTTAGGGTTACAGGGAAGGTTGGTGGTATAGTTTTACAGGGAGGGTTAGTATGAGAATTATACGGATAGATAGTGTTGGGGTTTACAGGGAGAGTTATTGTAAGGGTTACAGGGAGGGTTAGGGATACAGGGAGGGTTAGTGTTGGGTTTACAGAGAGGGTTAGTGTAAGGGCTAAAGGGAGGGTTAGTGTTAGGTTTACTGGGAAGGTTAGTGTAAGGGTTACAGGCAGGGTAATGTAATAGTTACATGGAGGGTTAGTGTTAGGTTTACAAGGAGGGTTAGTGTAAGGGTTACAAGGAGGGTTAGTGTAAGGGTTACAAGGAGGGTTAGTTTCAGGTTTACAGTGAGGGTTAGTGTTGGGGTTACAGGAAGGGTTACTTTTAGGGCTACAGGGAGTGTTAAGGTTGGGGTTACAGGTAGGGTTAGTTTTGGGGATACAGGGAGGGTAAGTGTTAGAGTTACAAGGAGGATTAATGTTAAAGTTACAGGGAGAGTAAGTGTTAGATTTAACGGGAGGGTTAGTGTTAGGTTTACAGGGAGGATTGGGGTTACAGGGAGGATTAGGGTTGGGGTTACAAGGAGGGTTAGTGTAAGGATTACAGGGAGTGCTATGGTTGGGGTTACAGGGAGGGTTAGTTTTAGCGCTATAGGGAGTATTAGGATTGGGTTACAGGTAGGGTTAGTTTTGGGGATACAGGGAGGGTTAGTGTTAGAGTTACAAGGAGGGTTAATGTTAACGTTACAGGGAGAGTAAGTGTTAGGGTTACAGGGAGAGTTAATGTAAGAATTGAAGGGAGGGTTGGGGATATAGGGAGGGTTACAGGGAGACTTAGTGTTAGGGTTAGAGGGAGGGTTAGTGTTGGGTTTACATGGAGGGTAAGTGTATCAGTTACTGTGACACTTTGAAAAGATACAAAACAACATTTTTACCTGTACCAGATAACTGTTGTCAAGAGACATCTTACACATTGTCAAGAGACATCTTAGAAACAAGGAAAACCTTGAAAAATGTTGACTTTAGTAGTGTGTTATATAACGGTTCTGTGGTATCTAAAACTGAGTTATCACATTTGGTTATTGCGTGACTTTGACCCCAGAATGTCCATATAAAAGAAACAGATGTCCTGCGTTATTAGTGTCATTCGTGGCTTCATATCATGATGTCTTCTTTAAAACAATCTCCCTTCCCCAAATGTTTTATTGCTGTTATTTTTCAGAGGTCCTCCGCTTATCAAATAAATATTTATCGGTTTCTTTCTCGTCATATAAACATTGGGATTAAAAGCAATTTATAAAAAAGGAATGCGTCTCTCCGGGGTCCAGCCGCGGCAAACAGATTTAAGTTTTGGCAAAATGAAAAATAGAAACAACTGAAAAAGAAATGTTTGCTCTCGAGCCAGTAATACTATGTAAACGCATAAAGTGTACACACACTTACAAATGTCTCCTCCCTTTCGTGGAGTTTTAGAACCTCCCTTTTTCTTTAAAGTCAAACAATAGTTTTGTTGAGACAAAACAATCCCATCAAAGTCTACTCTGTACAAAAGCTCAAACTGAGCCCAGGGCAGAAGTGTACCACCACAGCCTGTAGGTACACATGATTTGCTGCCTTGCCGAGGGCAGCAGCAAAGTTAAATACGCCGCTGGATACACAACCTCTGCTGCCCAAAAAGACAACTCTTCTAGGATCACCTCTTTAACACAGAGCAGTTTTTTTGTTTTACTGACCCAAATCTGGCTTGGAATATTAAAATAATGTGTGCTAAAAGCTTAGGTGAGACAAACGCATTCCTACTAACGATGCCAAAGAATGTGTGGCCAATAACTATACAAGTAAAGGCCAGCTCTTAGCCTCTGTTGCCTATAGGCCCAGGCCTCCTGTACCTAATGGTTATTGTGTCCCTGAAGTATGCCACTTCTCATGGAGGCAATCGATAATATGAAATCACCTGCACTCCATACTGCGTACAGACCTTGGATGAGAGGTTAGTGCTTGAAGTGACAACACGGATGGCGCCGTGTCAGATACAGTCCATAATAGAAGTCACCAGCACTCGATGATGTGTGCAAGAAGTAAAGCACTTTTTATTACATTGTCACATGCGTCATACAGCCCCCTGTATGACACATGTGACAATGTAATAAAAAGTGATTTACTTCTTGCACACATCATCGAGTGCTGGTGACTTCTATTATGGATTTCTCATGGAGGGACGCAGCTTCATAACCTTTCTCCATGGTCCAGGTAGCTACCTTCAAAGACCAGTTTCTACCTCCATATTTGAGTTCTTAGCAGTGTTCCTCTTCTCTGAACTGCTCAAGCTCAGCCAGTTTGTCTAACCTTTTCATTAAAGCAATTAAGTTTCAGTGAGCTGGTACAGAGTTAATTGGTTTCTGTGTCTCTTCAGCACTGGGGGAACTAAGCAGTGGATGTGGAATCTTTATAGACCTGGATACTTTCTACAAAGAAATCATTGTAGATTTCCTGCCAGTTCAGTTGCAGTTCCTGCAATTTGGGGAAATGTGGCAAAATACGAAAAAATACGGTCATGTGGACAGAGTAGAGTGATGATCGAGTGGGTGGAAGGTGGATAGGGCAGAAAGGCCCAATGATGGAGTGGATGACATGTTGAGTAGACAGAGTGGGCAGAAGATAGGTCAGATAATGGAGTGGGCGTAAGATGTAAATGGCATATGTTGGATAAGGAAAAAGATGGAGCAGACAGAGAGGTATGATGACATGGACAGAAAGGGCCAACAAAAAATGGACAGCAGATGGACTGGACAGCGAGAGCGGATGATGGAATGGGTGGAAGATGGAGCAGACGGAGAGGTATGATAATGAATTGGGCAGAAGAAGACAGAGGGCCAATGATGAAATAAGCAGAAGATGAAAAGGACAGAGGAGTAGTGGTGAAGTGGCCGAAGGACAGAGAGGGCAGAGTGGGCCATTGATGGCATGGGCAGAAGATGGACAGGACAGAGAGGACCCATGAAAATCTGCACATAAAATAGAGAAGACAGAGAGGGTCGATGATGGAGTGGACAGAAGATGGGATTCAGAAGTGGTGCCAGTGATGGATTGGGAAGATGGATTGGACAGAGTGGGATAATGATAGAGTGGACAGAGGATGAGGAGGCTAAAGAGGGTCAAAGATGAGTGGGTAGAAGATGGAATAGCCACATGGGGACAATGCTGGAGTGGGCAGAAGATGGAGAGTACAGAGAGGGCTCCTGATGGATTGGGTGGAAAACGGAGAAGACAAGGAGGGCTAATGATGGAGTGGGTGGAAGGTGGACAAGACAGGGACGGTTGATGATGGAATGGTCATAAGATGGAGAGGACAGAGTGGGCTGATAATGGGATGAGCAAAACAGGGAAAGAGGACAGAGAGTGTGTGAAAGATGAATTCAGGATTTGATGCCTGCATGGAAAAGTTTGAGACCTCACCAACTATAAAACCCAAGTGCAGTAAACATAATGGAATTGCTAGAGCAGCCCCCAGAACTGTAGGAGGTGATCTTTGTTTTGATAAATATTTATGTAGGGAAAGTCCTTGCTTGTTTGTGAAAATTGAGCCAGGAGAATTGCTGACTTGCCCATTTTACTTCTAAATATTTACATAAAGACCTGTTTGAACTGCAGTGAATCGTACAATTAAGGAATCCAAGCAACTGTGATTCATAAACTGTATGACTCTTTGCAGACTCCACATGGCATATCAAAATCAAAATTAGCCAAATTTCAAACCAAATTACTCATCATTATTTCTGACGGAATATTTTCAAGTCCCTATTTTAATTATAGACAGTTGAAGAGCCTCACCATTTTAAGGTTGGATAACGAAGAGCATCTGCTGCACAGCAAAAGCTGAGACAGTGGTCAGCCAAGCTGTGGTGACAACATTGTAGGGCTGTAGCAACTGTTCACCCCTTTAGGGTGCTAAATGTGAAGTTGTCTGCTGATCACAGACAGGAGATGTTTCACCAAGAATGATTGACAAGAGAAATATCTGTCCATCTTCTTTTCACATCACCCAACTGCAGAGACCCACCCCAATTGTAACTCAACAGTATGAGGTTCACACATTTGGAGTAATAATTTCCTTTTCTTTTAAGAGAAAAGAACAATTGATACTTATTTCAACAGAGAGTTTGCAAAATACTAGAATATCTATTTGTGTAATAGGAGTTTCCAATGCTTGATATTCCCTCCCAAAGAAGCCAAACATGACCCAGTTCTCATCCAGTCATCAAGGCCAACGCTTGAATTGGGCAATTCACTTTCAAATACTGGGCTGTGCATTGCAACCCTAAGAAGCACAGATTGACTCAGGACTGGTGAAGGAGATTACTGAAGCTGTTGTCACTCACCCGTAGTGAAGGAGGTGGAGATGGGAGCAGAAGCGGAGCCATGTCGAAGGGCGTGGAGCTGAACTGTGTATTGTGTGGTTGGGTCAAGCTGATTCAACAAGAAGGAGGTGATATTGGATAGCAAATGGATTTCCTACAAGATGGAAAAAAATGTGACAAGGTATCATCCAGAGCATCTCAATTATATAGGTGATGGGGATGGAACTTTATCCCTACTCAGTAATAATATCATCTCCTATCCAATCCAATATTGTCTGCTGGTTTTGACAATGTGGCCAGTGGTGGGGAAAGTCTTCTACGATCCACAGCAAAAATGCCTTTGTAGGCTCCGCCTCCCCCTCCAAACTCGCAGCAACAAATTTGTGATAAATGAATGCACACAATAGAGGTGGAGAGAAGCAGAGAAGAGTCTAATTAAATATGAGCTGCTCTGTATAGGCACCACCACCAATCAGAGTGACATCTGTACTGCAAGCCAATTACAAAACAGATGCCTGAAAGTGGTTGCTGTAGGTGACAGGGCACATAAGAGACATTTTTTTCGATACTAGTGATTTGAATCGACTCAAACCTACTTCTGCTTTTATCTCAGCTGGGACCATCAGGTTTGCTGAGATATATTCAGTTTTCTTCCAAGCATACAACCAGTGCTGGCATTTCTTTTTAAGTCCACCTTGCTTTGCAAAGTGAACATCATGGGTGCAAACTGTACTAAATCATCATTTATAAAGATTTCAGGAAAACTGAACCAGAAACCATGTTACTTTGCCTTAAACTTTGTGTTGTCACCTCCACCCTAGGCGAAAGTTTAATGCCTCAACTGATGAAGTAAAAAGTCCATCCTACCTTCGCTTCACCTTGCGGTGTTTGGTAGGTGAGCAGATAGGCATCAGGTTCAACATCTGGCGCTTCCCAGGTCAGCACGGCAGTTCGGGCTGTGATCTGAGTGGCCGTGAGGTCACGGGGAGTGTCAGCACCTGGACATTGTGACAATTGAAACATTCTTTTAAAAGGAACCTATAGTATTATTATTTTTCTTAGATAAACCAATAACCATGATTTGCTTAGTGCCCTTTCTTACGATCAGTAAGAGCCCCAAGTGAGAAATGGCACCTCCACACAGCAATGAAGACACAGCAGTGAAGTATTTGTTGCTGAAAGGAGCCATGCAACAGGAAACATATCCCAGAATAGATTTCAGGCTTTGAAGGAACAGACGACTTACTAAGACTCTCAGCAGAACTGAATACAGATGGATTAAGCAAAGTATGTGACTTAAAGTGGTCTACTTGTAAACAGTCTGTCGATCTGTACGCATAGAGGCAAAAATGGAGGTTCTTTGTATAGTTTCAGGTCAAGTGTAATGTAATGTAATTCTGTATTATGGCCACTAGATGGAGCTGAGGAACATAGGAAATAAATACTTATTTCCCGTGCTCCTCAACTCCATCCAGTGCCCATAATGTGGTTTTTACCTGATATTACATTCAACCTGAGAAGAAAATCCTTTGCCAGCTCCCTTAAATGTTATTTAATCTCCTGTATTTAGATGTTTGTTTGGAAGTCAGCTTTAAAAAATATATAGATTTTACCTAACACCAATATAGTTTCCCTTCGGTAACTTAGAATTTCCTGGCAGGCTTACTAGGCAAGACTCCAAGGCTGGTCCAAGCATCACTTGTCTCTGTAACTATGTGAAGCACACAGCTTGCCCTACCCAGGCTAGAAGTTGCTTTTGTCACCTGCTGGTTTTGTTGCAGCACTTTGCATTCACCTTAACATATTGGAAAGCATGGAGTAGTAGCGTCAGTATTTCACACAGAATGGCGGCACACATTTCCTGAAAATTGTTCTTTGAGGGTGAATGCATGAATGCATGAATCAAAAGAAACCAGGGAACACACAATTTACTGTATGAGAATAGTAAATGACGGCTTACTAGTGGTGAAGGAGGTGGACGATGGCGCACTGGTTGCGGGTCCATGTTGACTTTGCACGCTTACAAAGTACTCTGTGTGAGGATGTAAGCCAGACAGAGGAAGCTCAGTTTTGTCTCCAGGAACCGGTACGGTGATCAACGGGACTGCAAGAGAGCAATGGATGTATAAGAGGTGGGATGGATCTAAGGCCGATCATAGAAGACTGGTGTTCTATTAGCAATGGCAGAGAGAGAGAGAGACACAAGGCATGATAATGGATGTATTACAAAGGTGTAACTAATCCTAGGGTTAGGGTTCTAAGTCGTAAAATGAATGTGACATTAACAAAACATTAACTGAAGGTGAAACAATCACTGTAATTTTAAACACCTTCAGTGAATGTTTAGTGAATATCACATTTATTTTTTTTCAAATCTACCCCTAGTCTATTCCACATGCACCAGAGGGATACGCATTCAGTGAATGTTTGGTGATTGTCACATTCACTATTTTGCAAATCTACCCCTAGTGTTCTTTAGAATAAGAAGCATTTATATATTCCCTTCTCAAAGACGTTCTGTCGCCCTGACACATTTCCTACCCTGGGGTAACAATGCTGCTCCTCCATTCCTACAGTACAATGAGTGAGCGTTGTCACCCTGGGACGCAGAATGTGTTACTGGGATCACCTGGTGAAATTCATGAAAAAAAGCCTAAAAATATAAAACAAATGCAGACACTACATCTAAGGACTAGTCAGGTGAAGAATATTACATCTGTTTTACATTTCTGTTCTCTAGTTTGGAAACACTTTATTATAAGTTGTACAATGTATGTAGTATATATTATTTGTATGTATTATTTTTAGATTTTTCAATATCTTGATTGTTTTTGTCTAGTAAGTATGAAATATTACATATAGTACACTGTAAATACTCCCTGTGTACTACTTCCAGCCAGCAGGAATAGCTTTAGGCTTCTTTTTAAATGTTTATCATGCTTAAAAAGGATACAGAGTTTTAATAAGACAGAGGCAGCCACAAAACAGAGATGAAATTGTTTTTTTGTATTGCTTTAGAAAACGCCATAAAAAGCCAATGTCATGGGTGTATTACATTTTTATTTCCATAATATCTCAACAGGTGAAATAGTAAATAATATAGCATTTGGTAAAAGAGATAAATCTCACCCCAAACCATTATAGTTTACCCTTTAAGTGAAGGTTACCTCTGTTACAGGAACATTTAGAATGATGGTTTCTTTGCAGTACCCTGAAAAATTTACCTTTTTTCCTGAATTCCTGCTGAAAAATAGCAGTACACTTCCTGTGCCTAGGCACTCCGCTTCTAGAGCCTCATAGCTGTATACCTGCAGTGTGAGGTCTAAGGCACTGCTGCCTCTGACTGCTGGTCTCACTGGATTTGGAGATGTTACTACTATGCTGTTCTTCTTGCTGGGGAGGATGCTGTATCTGAGGACCTGCAGTGTAAGAATCTTACTGATTTAGCTTTATTCATTCTGGGCCTTCCTTTACCTACTCTATTGCCTCTTGTATTTTACCCCTCCAGTCATCAGATCACCACTCATTAAGGGTCAGCTTTGACATGAGACACAGTCCTGTGCCTCTACCAAGATGGCAACCTCCACACAGAGACAACAACAAGAACATGGCATGGTAAGTCCAGACCATAGCAATACTGGTGACTAGTCCTTTGGCCCCCACTTGCCTTCTGTGGGCACAGCTTTCAGAGTTCATTGGAAATAAAGTGGTGTAGTGGTTAGACTTTCAACCTGACTTGTCGGTCCGCAGCAGTACACACTGAAGCTCCACCCTAAATCCACAGACATATCTAGAAATAACAGAAACATTCAACTCTTACTGTTCTCTGCTCTGTAGGTAATCAAATACTGATCCACAGGTCCAGTGGGGGCTTCCCAACGTAGAAGAGCTGACACTTCAGTCACGTCATGTGCACGCAAAGATCGGGGGCCGCCTCCAGCTAAGAAACAAGACCCGAAATTAGAAAATCTACCATTATCTTAAAAATGTTATCTGATTGGTCTTTGTGGACCATAGCACAGCCATATAAGACTCACCTGTGGTGAGGTAGCCTGTCAGTGGTGAGCTTTCCTCGAACCCTCGCATCGTAACAACGGTAACCTCATATTTGGTTCCTGGAGTCAGCCTTTTCAGTGTTGTGGTGGTTCCAACCACATTTACACTCTCCGGTTCTCCTGCAGCAGAATAAAGTTATAAAATAAAACACGAAGTTCAGAGTACATCATTGGCGAGTACAGAGTGCTCGCCAATGGCTTTATTGTTGCCTGTGTCCATTTTTCTTGTAGGCGGCAGTAAAACCCAACAGCCTGAGAATTTTAAGAATTCCTGAATCCCTCAAAAGACTCCAAGAAAAGGATTTTAAGGTGTACAAAAATCCTATTTTTTTGTTATCTCATTGCATCTGATCTCTTCCAGCCATGTGCTCCAGTGCTGGCTGCATCGTATTGCTCAGGACCAGTTTTCTTGATGGTGACAGTGGCAGAACATGCCAGAGCAAAGACTGCCGGCATGGCTGTTGATAGTCTCCACTAAAAGTGCATGTGACTGGGCGACAACACAGGACAGCAATTGAGAGTAAGAGACAATGCATTGTCACCCCTTCACAGGAAGTGCCTGAACATCGACTTTCCATGGCAGGATCAGCAGATATTATTTTATTGAAAGATGCAAAATTGTAAAAGTGTCTGTGAAGGTTCTCATTTATCCAGGTCATGGTATATCTGTTAAAAAATAAGTGAATGCAACTGGACTTGTTGTATTTTTTTCTTGAAGACGTTTCACTGGACATTCCAACCAGCTTTCTCAATTCAGAATTGAGAAAGCTGGTCGGATGTCCAGTGAAACGTCTTCAAGAAAAAATACAGCAAGTCCAGTTGCCTTGACTTATTTTTTAGAGATAAAATTGTAAAAGGTTGAAAGTTGCTTCTGAAACCACATTAGCATGTTTACAAATTATGAGATTTTAGTGGCTGGGTTTCCATATATTTTAAAGATGGCCAGACCCCTCTTCCAGCAATATTTTGAATTAAAGATGTTTTCATATGAAGGAATAAGATTGACAGCTTAATAGAAATATCAGACACGCAGAAATGGTAGCAAATTGGTGGGTGACGGCTATTTAATGGGAAAGGAAAGGAGACTATTACCTCCGTCGGCTGGCTCGTAGGACACTTTGAAGGTGGTTGTGTCAGGACTTGGTGGATCCCAAGTGACGATGGCTGACTTCTCCTGAATATTGCTGAATTTTAGTTTTTTCGGGGGCTCCAGATCTTGAATGGAAAAAACATGACACCTTCTGAAAGATTCTACAATTAAAGGGTATTTTAATCCACAGCATTTTGTTTTTCTTTCATTTTGGATGGAGAAGGAAAGGGTTTTATTGACATCTACTGTATGTCTCATTGGAGAAGATTTTCCTTCATTTCCTGTCATGTAGACACAACAGGGAGTGAGGGGAAATCTCTCCAAAGTAAGGAAAATCCATTCTTACACAGTTGTTACCATTAGAAGAGTTTCTCTTTTCCAGTCACTACTCACTACAGTTACTACAGTCACTACAGTTGTTACCATTAGAAGAGTTTCTCTTTTCCAGTCACTACTCAAAATTTTGGATTTTCCCATCACTTTTAGCCCTGGGGACAATGGTCACAAGAACATATCGAGAGGCTCATTCTCGCTAGTGGGGACAAAGACAGGAATATAACCCTGATTGAGGTTCTAACCCTACACTAATGCTTTTGACTTAGATACACTATAACTGAACATAAAAGGTTCCAGCAACCAATGAGATGTTTGCTTTCATTTCACAGCTGCTTTAGAGAAACAAAAACACAGGAATCTGATTGGCTGCTAGGAGGAACATGCCCCTTTGCAAAGAGTTACAAGCCAATCAATTGTCATCAATTTCCCTAGGGTATTTGTACCAGAAGTGAGTTGAACACTGTTTATCCTTACCTAGAGGTGCTGTCTTTCCTGTGTTTTGCATACTGCTTTGCTCGTTCCCATCTCGGATGCCGTGTAATGTGACTGTGTAGACCGTGTCAGGTTGTAGACCAGACAGAAGAAGGTTCCGATCCGTGCCATCAGCTGTCACGGTGTTCAGTGGCCCATCCTGACTTTCAACTTTGTATCGGACAAGGAAGGACTCGAAGGAGGCCTCTGGAGCCTCCCAGGAGAGGTGAATGGCATGTGGACCATGAGTAGATATGTAGAGTTCGGTGACCACAGGAGGACCAACAGTCTCAGGATAATCTGAAAAAGTAGAAGACCGATTTACACATATAAACACATATAAAAAAAGAAATAAGACAATCTCATGAACACAACAAGCCATATCATCAGCATCATCTAACCCTCTCCTCCCCAGCTGTACTGTCCCTGGCCCACTGCTTCCCATATTTCTAATGTGTCCTGTCATTTTAGGGAAATATTGTCCTATAGGTGTGTCTGGCCAATTTCATGTGAAAGAGTCAGTATAGGTGATCTGAGTAATGGACAGGCAGCTTTTACATCCCAGAGGATCCCAACTGTCTCTTTGGCTTGTGGCATCAAATTGCAAGATTGTGAATTGAAGCATCACGCTGTTTAATAGTCCAGATACATCTTTATTCAATGTAGGGTTGAGGGTACAATATAGAAATAGCCAAATGTATTGGCTTGAAATTGATTACCATTTTGTCCCATGTGTGAGAATGCATAAAGCACTTCAGCAGCTGACTTGGAATTGAAAGTGCACTGCCCCATCCTAGAGGTGGAGATATTCACAGGTTGTTTTGGTGTGCCCACCTATGTCCTAGCAACCAATTATATTGTGAGGCTCAGCTACCAGTCAATCAATGGTGATGTGGACACAAGAGGTTTGGAGGGGGGGGAGGGGGGGGGGACTGGCCAAATCGTTCACCCATTCGGCAAACTGCTTGGGTCAAACTCATGGTTGACTTGAACCTGGAGCTCACCTCTACTGGACATACACTTTAACTAAACTGAATTTATTCATGCACGAAAATAGACAATTAATGAGGCTGTTGACAAGGATATGGGTCCTATAGGAAATGTGGTGGAATGTTGTTTGCTTTAAGGTCACCACAAAGAACTCAAGGACACACTTTGCAACTGGAAGAAAATAGGTCATGCTCCATGTTCTTATCCATATAAAGATTAGAAAGTAAGAGATAAAATCTGGCTGGTTGCTATAGACATGATTTTCCTTTGCTTTAGTTTTACTAAATCAATTCAGTGGTCTCCAGTTTTCAGTACAGTACCTGTCTGGACCTGAGTGGACAGTGACTCGCTCCTCTTGTCTCCCCTTAGTCCGTACACAGTGAACTCATACTTCTGAGATGGTAGCAGTCCTTGAACGATGGTGCTGGAGTCTTGTCCTGGAATCTGAAGCTCCCTTATACCTCCCTCAGGTTCTCTATACTGCAGTACAATCCAGTCGAAGAACAATATTCCTTCCACCAGCCATGACAATGTTACAGAGTCCTTCGTCACTTCTGTAGACTTGAAATTCACCAGACGAGTGACAGGAGTACTAGGTGTAGTTGGAACAACTTTTCCTGGGGCTGTAATAAGGTAAGACATTACTATGGACATCAGACAGTTACATTTGGCACTTATGTTATCCTTATTTTGTAGACTTAGGTTCAAATAGTAAATTGTCTGTCTAGTGTCAGATACATCACATGAAATATGGCATCCTCTGCCTCAACTGTAAGGAAAGGTCAACGTGCAGGAAATCCTTCCTGTGCTCCAGATCTCTGAAAGGTTAACTGAACTAAGTTTGCTCTATAAGGTTTCGATCTTTGGAAAGATTTCCTGTAATGAAAACTCAACCTCAAATTAGATACTTGCAGAGTGAGAGTAAAGTGCAAGGGGATGCTGAGGATGCTATAATTCTTCATGACGCTGGGATTCAGCATGTACTCCTTACTGAAAACGCAAAAAAAAGAAAAAAGCAAACCTATAAGGAACCATGATCCCTGTCTTTATAAAGATTTTTGCATGTGCTTTCAGTAAATGCAGTTCGGCCCTTTCAAGAAATAAACAAGGACTTGTACACTTTAGAATGGATTGATCATGTCTTTATAGTAAAATCAGAACCTCCCGCTGGGCCCACATTTTGAAAAATTTCAAAAGTTGCCATAAACAAGAAACTGTAAGAAAGTTGAATAAACAAAGTTAAATTTGATCTAGTGTTTTTTTCTTTAAAAAAATAAAATTAAGTTTTAATTTGAAAGATTTCAGTTGTCATGTTGGTTTTCTGTGCAAATGGTAGTCCTCTTTTGGGAGCTGTATGAGAAGCATCAAAGTCAATATTGCCAAAGTCGTCTTGGATGGAGAATTATAAATATAATCACTTTTATTTAATACACTTAAGAGAGACTGTCACCAGACCGTTTATTTCAACAATATTTTCAATTATTTCCCTTGCTTTTTTCCCAAGCAAATGGTAGTCTTCTTTTGGGACATGTATGAGAAGCATCAGAGTGATAGCCAAGGACATTCTTGGAAAGAATATGATTAATCTATTCACTTTAGATTCAAAATATTAAAGAGATACTGTTGCCAGACCATTCATTTACAAAAACAATCTTCTCTTGTGCATTTAAAGTGACATTAAAGTCAAAAATGTTTTGCCCTCCCCCCAATGTTAATGTCAGGACTTACCTTAAATGATGTTTCTTAATCTGATCTTCTTCTTTCCTGTCCTTTTCATCTGTCCCTCCAGCATTGCGGTGGGTCTCCGATCCAGCGCTGACTCCTCTGAGCTTGCTGGCACTTCCTGTCCCACGGTGTCTGCATGTGGGTGCACACGTCCATAGACTTACCTTGTGTCTTTCCTCGCGTCCCGGCCGAAAATGTGATCTGCGCATGCACCCGCCCCAAGATCCTTTGCGGCCGAGAATTTTCACATTTTCACTCTATAGCAGCTAACTCAACCAATGTTCCTCTTGAGGTTGATAGGGGTTCCTTGAGCAGTGTGTGACAGTCAAGTGACACTCTACACTATCCCCCTTTTCTTCTCTACTGCCTGCTACATAGAGTGTTAAGTAATGAGAGGAGGGGAGGAGGAGCTTGGCCAGCACGGGTATTATTTAGACACTCCTAGGATAGCACAGGGCTATGGCATGCAAGAATGTAGGGCAAGAAATGTTGGGCCAGTACAGACAGTAATTAGACACTACCAGAAGAGCAGAAGGCTAAGTAATGCAAGAAGAGAGGGGGTTGTACTAGGGAATCCGCTTTTCCTAGAGTGGTCAAATTTCCTAGCAAGTTCAAAGGCATACTGCATGCCAAAAAAGTGTTTATGGGAAGGAAGAACACTGGAAGTAAACATTTCAAACTCTTAATTGTTCTGTGCTTTTTTCTGCAATTTTTGAAGTTGCTTTCAGAGTCTCTCTAAATTAACTGATACACAGAGAAGACAAAAAGAAATGCATGATCTTACAGAGTTCACGTGGAAAGGGGCAATGTCTATTGGTTGACAGCATGTGTTGGTTGTTCCATTACCTGTGGTGGTCTCCAGTGTAACGGCTTTGCTCCTCTTTCCTCCTGTAAGCCCATACAGAATGAATTTATATTTCTTCCCAGGTTTCAGATCTTCAACGCTAAGCGTGCGCTGCTCTCCATCCAATGTGAGCTCCTTGGGTTTGCCCTCCACATCGCGGTACAGAAGAAGGAAGGAGTCGAATTCCCCTCCACTCACTTCCCAGGAGAGACGGAGGGAGTCACTGAGGATGTCAGATGCAAAAAGTGACTCCAGGCGAGGAGGAACGGATTTCTCTGCAGAAGGAAAAGCGTGAGATGAACAGTAGTATCAGAACTCCATCACCCATCAGATGATTACTGAATACAAGATGTACTAAGATACAAAAATGACTGACTCTTTTATTAGAAAAAACACTCCCAGCATATCCAATCATGTTATAACATCAGCATTGTACTAGAAATACTATCTAGAAGTGTCTGTAGATGGTCATCACTAAACATTTCTAATGGCACCTTTGTTGTCATTTTTAAGATAGGGAGGAAGTTCCTTTTTAAAGGTTATATAAACCCCAACAACGCCCTTCTCCTATTTGGTCTCTTTTGGTCTGTTAAATGTATTCTGAAAGCGCTGGGGTGCTGGCTGTCAGAATACATGTTACAGGGAAAAGCCCCATTCCCCCCACCCCCTTCTTCAGGGCTTAAACATACGCTTTGTAACTAAAACCAGCACAGTGGCGTAGTGGTTAGCATTTCTGCCTTGGAGCACTGGGAATCTCCAGTTCAGGGCCAGGACATTATCTGTATTGAGTTTGCATGTTCTCCCTGTGCTTGTGTGGGTTTCCTCTTACACTCCAAAGACAAGTTGGTAGGTTTACTGGCCCTAGTAGATGTACTGTATGTATGCATATGAGATAAGGACCTTAGGTTGTAAGATTCTTGAGGGTGGGGACTGATGTGAATTAATAGTATGTAAAGTGCTGCGTACATTGACTTTACACACTCATAAAATAGAGCTGAAGTGTCAGGGTTTCCTCATGGAAATGAAAGTGGCTGAATAAGGTTAAAAACATTAATGTCTGGCTTCTATTACAATTCATACATTTAATCACTGAAGAAGAGGGAGGCTTGCTCCCGAAACCTGTTGCCTGTTCCTAATCAAACATTTTAAACCAATCCCCAAGCTACATGATCATGTTTACTCCTAACTCCACACCCAAGAACAGATTATGTGTTGAACAGTTAATTCACTGTGATTAAAGAGGCAGCAGCCTATGACAACATCAGGTCTCTATACATGCAGCCACTATAGGTTTATAGAGTATTACAGGAGTAAGCAACCTCAGCCCTCCAGCTGTTGTGAAGCTACAAGTCCCATGAGACATTACAAGACTCTGATACCCACAGACATGTCTCCAGCAGCAGAAGCATGGTGGGAGTTGTAGTTTCACCGCAGCTGAAGTGCAGAGGTTGGCTAGTGGTTGGAATATTGCCTCTTTATATAGATAAATGGTCCAGTGCTATCACACCGACCAGATATAACAAAGTCCTGAAAAGCAATAAAGAAACAGACAGAAGTTTTAATTCTTCCCTTCATGTCATGGACATTTTGGTTTCCCCTCATACTATGTGGCTGCATGAGTGACAATAGGAATGGTGGGAGTGTATCATACATTGGTTATGTACCCAGCCATCTGTGAACTACATCTTCCAGAAGGTGCTGTTAAGTCTGGAGGAGGAGTATGTGTTCCTAGAAAGGCTGTATTTGGATGCAGAATGCCCTAGGTAACACCCACATGTGACGCTGAGCCTCCATGATTGAAAGAACTGAATTCCAATGACCAAAAGTGGTGGGCCAAGGGCAGTTAAGCTGGCAGAGAAAGGGATAGATGATGCTAGACATTAGGGATGCAACAATATCGATACTAGTATCGGTATTTGTGGCGATACCGAGTATTTGGGAGAGTATTTGTACTCGCCCAAATGCTCCAATGCCTAGCCCGATACCCGAACTTAATGACTCGCCGCCTGGCTTCGTAATTGGTCGAGAAGCTGGCCAATCAGGAAGTCAGGCGGCGAGTCATTACCCGCGCCCCGGCTTCCTGATTGGCCAGAAAGCCGGCTCCATGCTTCCTCGTTACCTGGTGATTACATGCCGCATGGCTTCCTTTTTGGGACTTTCGGTATCGGCGAGTACCGAAACAAAAATATCGGTACTCATACTTGATGCCAAAAGACCGGTATCAGTGCATCTCTGCTAGACATCCTACCCGGAAATGAGTCGGGCTCTATCTGACTTGCTGCAGCGTCTAATGCACATTGTGAGAAGTGCACAGTGTGCAGTGACATCAGAGGAAGCCATTTGAGTCCTGGAGAGGAGCCGGTACAACTGTGCAAGACTGAAGAAGTTTCAAACTTCTCACAAATAGAGTCTTCAACATAGACAATCTTATTAGAGGACTAAATAAAATACATTCTACTTTTCAGGAACGAGTCCCAAGATGACAATAAACTCCAAATTAGAAACATGTTTTGGGATGGAATCTGGCTCCAAGTTTAAGGCTAAAAAAAAAATCAAAAGCCGAGTTTTACAGCCTGTCCCATGAACGATGGCAGAGCCAAAGCACTCATCCGAGAATCTGTTTCCTATAATAATGAGATCTTCAAATTCATTCAGACACAGAGGGGAGGAGGCTGACGCTGAATCAGCCATCCTCGGTTCTAGAAATGTCTTCCAGGGTCAGGAAATAAAGTGTAAATTTCACTTTATAAATGTTGAACATCGTGTGTAATATTATCTATGTATTTACTTGTTTATTTGGTTTTATTGTTTCTCTAAACCTCAGTGTATCAGTACTGCACAGGTAGACCTCTGAGAACCTAAAGGGGTCTATTTATAAACAATTTGCAGAGCCATTCACTCTGTGAATCTCTTTTCAGGCCAAATGTAATAACCGGAAAATACCGTATTATGACCACTAGATGGAGCTGAAAAGCAATGCACTGTGATGCAACCTACCCGAGATGCATTGCTTCCGCACATTAAATCACTAATGCCCAAGAGGACCAGGAAGTGGAAAAACAGTAATTGTAAGTTAAATTAGGATGATGTCATATTCTCATGCAGAACTAGCCAGTTTATTATGACCACCTGATGTTTGTAGGCAAATTAGCTATAATTAGCTATAATTTCGCACTGAAGTTGCTAGAGGGCCAGACCATTATAAATAGGGAAGCAGGTTGTTTACCACGACAGTAGAAGTGATTATTTCTGAAGATACGGGTAAACAACGTGATTTAACAGCCTTTGAACGTGGGACGATTGTTGGCGCTCGGAGCCATGGAGCGAGTATCAGCAAAACAGCAGAATTCGTTCAATATTCAAGAGCAGCTGTTGTTAAAGTGTTTAAAGACTGGACTGTCAGCCGAAAATCTGGGTCTGAACGTGCGAATTGTGGCCGTCAGCGACTAGTCAATGTTAGGGCAGAACGGAGAGTGGCAAGACTGGTACAAGACAACAGAAGGGCAACAGTGCAGTGTCAGATTCCTCGCATCACCTTTCAACATCTCGTGGAGTCATCTCGTGCCCCAACGAAGTACTGATGGGGTGGTCATAATAATCTGGCCACTCAGTGTATGTCCCCCTATATTAAAAGGAATAAATCCACTTCAGCGTTGTCCTCTCCTCATCTGCAGTTCTGTGCCGCCATTTTTTTTTTTCGCCATGAGGAACCAGCTGTCTCTTCCTAATCCTTGCATCCAGTCACCTTATGACGTGGCACAAGTTCTCGCACATGTGCGGTCTCTTTTTATCCTTTATCATAGCCGCAGAAGGGAGACATTGCACACATTCTCTGTTTGCAGATCTGTTGCCTCCCGGGATATGTGACGTTGGGTATCCCAGGAGGCTACAGGATAGAGGCTGACACATCAGACTCGCCTAGGCAAGAATGGAGGATGGAAGGGGGCTGGTGCAAACCAATGAAGAAAAGCAATATAGAAGCTAGGGGGAAAAAGGTGACTTTTAAATATTATTGAGGGAGAAGAATTCCAATGGGAGGAGAT